AAAGACTGCAGTATACAGGACCCTATCGAGTAACAATATTATCTACCGGAAAAGAAGGAAAGCTTCAAAATACATAGAGGATCAATTAGAGAGAATTCCGAGATGAAAAGCGAGTGCATTTCGTCAACAAGTTGATCGTGATGGACGATGAAAAATATTTTGTTCTTAACTGCTTCAATCAGTCTTGATTCTCTTATATGGTTCAAAATCCGCGGTCGGTCACTTTTACGCAAGTTAACACATGGTATCCCTTCTTCACATTCTTGTGAAGATTGTGCGATAAATTGTCGATTTGCTTATGTTTTAATCCCGATAAATATTAACAATCTTTCAATAAAATTAAACCAAAATATTCTGCTTTGTTTATTAAATGTCAATAACTGATGACATTTTAATTCCATGCCTTCTTTGTTAAATGCATTTTGCTTCTCAATCAGACCAGATGAAATTTTTCCCAAAACTTTAGGACCATACGTTATATAGACCCAGCAGTCGGCTAGACTTGGTATATAATCGGGTGTTAAAGAGACATCGCTTTGAGGTTAAAGGTCTGTTTACTACAACAATGACGTGCTCGTTTATGTTATAATCGTTAACATTTCGTGCAACTCCCTATCAAAACAATAAATAACAACAATTGTTTGCGACACTATACACCATTGGCTGGGTATATATATCATACCTCATTGCTCTATGTTATGTAATTTATTCTTGTGGATAGAGTATAAATAAATATAAATATTTATATTTAAAAAGGCTCAATGTCCTTTTTGCTATTTCATAGAGGCATTAGAGGATTTAATTAAAATCATTATTATACTGCAACTTATTATACTCATATATATTAATATACTGCAACACATTTTATGAATTATTGCATGTTTGTTTGGGTTTATTAAAAAAATGGATAGCATTGAACGAGGGGATTTAAGATAATTAATATTAATATGAATAGATGGGACAAACTTTGTGACTTAAAATCAGTTTTAAGTAATACTATTTTAGTTTTTTCAGGTTGAAATCAGTAATGCCAATAAATTCTGTTTTATGTCATACTTAGCTAATGGTTCCAAGTTTTTCTCTAGCGCTGATATACCTTATCTACTTATTAATTTATATATTCAACAAAAACCATCTTAGTTAAGTTGAAAAATAAGTTTAAATGAAAAAATACATCGCGAAGTTTTGTAAACATGCATTAAATCACTAATCAATTCGCTAAAGATATTTTTGTATTCATAATGAAATATTTATATATAACAATTTCAATAATGCAATACCTAAATCCGATAAATTAATAACAATAAATGTTTCATTTTTAATTTTATCATATATTTACACAATCTTCTGTAAATCATAATAAAACTATCTGGCGATTGAATGGTTTTAGAACAAAAATACAATAAACAAGTTGCGAAAACGAATATCATACTGTTACCAAGATAAACAATTATTATCTTAATTTTAACAATTAACACAATATTTTAGATCGGTTGTTGGTATAATATAACCTTGATCTTAAATAAGAAGTTCACTATTGAAAATGTTGAACGTACAGCATTATGTTATGGGAGGTTAGAGAAGGATTGTAGTCTCTCACTTTGTAAAGCAAGCACACGAAGTTACGAAAATATAAAATTTACAAGACAACACAGTGCCATTTTATGCCAATAACATTCTACTATGATAAGAAGATAAGATATTGCGCATAAGTCGTGACGTCATTGGAGAGTTGCACGCTCGAAATGTCAGTTTTTTGTATGTGTCAATAAATAATCTTTAATAAATAGTTCGGAGATATCCTTATGTGTACAATTATTATAATTATTGAACTTCTTAACTTATTTTCGTTCAGTAATTTCATCACAAAATGCATACAAATCCCATTTAACTTTAACAAGAATTCAAATTCTACTCTCCAATGACGGCATGCGCGAACACGACCGATTTTGGGCTACGGGAAGATCCTATCTTGTTTTCATAGTATCATGACATTCAACTACAACCAAAAAAATCTGTATTTTAAGGGTTTTTTAGATATTTTTGAACTTTGCCCATTTTGACAGCTGTCAAGTTTTTATTCAGTTTGGTTTGGCATTTCAAAATGAATAGATTGAATGAACGCTTCCAAATTGTTCAAATTTATTTCGAAAATCATGGTTATCCCATGTTACGGTCAACATAATCGTTTATCGGAGCAGATAATTCAATTAACCATGAAACGGTTTCACACCACGTTTAAGGTCGATTCAGACACATCAGTCCCGTCATAGTCTCGGCGCCGAACCGGTCCTGTTTGATCACAGAACTATCAACTATCTGACAGCTGGGAAACTGTTTGTCAACTGATGAGTGTGAATGCCGGCAACATTTATATTTGTATTAAAGAATATTTTGTATGACGGATTGTTCGGTTCGGCGCAATCACTGTGACGAGACGTGACTGATGTGTCTGAATCGACCTTAACTCTAACTGTTAATATAAGTATCCACAGAGACGTCATACAGTGCGTACAGAAGTTGTGGCTGCTCTAATCTTTTCCGCCATCATACACAGCAGTTGGATATGTGTCCATCCACTTTATGGAAGATTTTGCGGAAAGATCTTGGTTTGCGTGCTTACGAAATTTAACTCATGCAAGAATTAAAGCTACACGATCACCTAGCAAGGCATAGATTCGATGAATAGGTCCAAAACGAGATTACGAGAATTTTGTTTAGCGATGAAGCTCATTTTAGCTGGCTGAATGGCTACGTCAACTAACAAAACTGTCGTATTTGGAGTAAAAATAATCTTCAAAAGTGTATGTTGAGACACCATCACAAACAGAAAAACTGACTGTTTGGTGCTTTATGGGCTGGTGGAATCATTGGTTCCATACTTCTTCAAAAACAATGCTGACCAGAACGTTACAGTCAGTGGTGACCGCTATAGCGCCATGATTACTGACTTCTTCATTCCTCAATTGAACAACCATGATGTGCAGAAGCTGTGCTTTCAACAAAACGACGCAATATGTCGCAAAGCTCGTGCCACAATTGATTTATTGAAAAACATTTGGTAATCGCATAGTTTCACTTTTCGGACATGTGAATTGGACTACAAGATCGTACGATTTAACACCGCTAGACTATTTTCTGTATGAATATGTGAAGGTCTAAAACGATTGACCACTTGGAGGACATTCGCCGCGATATTGCTGATATACGACCACAGAATATTGGAAAAAGGCATCGAAAATTTAATCTCCAGAAATGCCAAATGATTATCTTTCGAATAAAGTCAATTTCATGTCAATTTAAAAAAATCATCTTTATTTTATATTTTATTCCATTTTAAACTTATATACCTCTAAAAAAAACCTCCATTGGTATGTTAAATAGGGAACGGGATCACTTCCAAGAATCAAAATTCTAAAAGGGGAAACTCAAAGTACATCTGATCACATAAGATTTTGTCAATACCAGAATACCATACCGTCCTGTTACAAATGAGGTTGCTTCAATATTCTGTTTGATTATGTGACGCTGAGACTTCCAGTTTCAGTTTGACTGTTCATCTAACATCATATGGTACTATCGATTCAGGCTTTAAGTATCTTGGATCTAACGCATCACTAATAAAACCATTCTGGAATGATTTGGACAAGAGCAAAAGACACTTGACATCACCAAACTCTAAATGCGAAATGATTATTGTCTGCTACAATTAATACTGGTGGGTAAAATAAACGGAAGAAGAGATACAGGTCAGCCAAGAACATCGTGCCTAAAACATTTTCTTCAGAGCAACAATTGATACAAATTAATTGATTGCAAATATTCAAAGACTAAGAAAAGTTTAAATCTAGAAGAAGAGTAATAGAGATAGTTTACCAACAAAATATTGACTAGAACTATGAAGAATGAAAAAATAAATAATGTTCAAGAAAATTTCTTGAGCAACGAATTTAACAAAGTAGTATTAATTTGGAACTAGACATGCTGTACAAGTACAATTTAAAACATGACGTAAACTGGAATGATTTGTTTCCTCTATAAACGAAATTTCTTTTATTTTGATTTTATTACTAACTATGTACATTAGTGATGTAACAAATGTCATTTTTTAAACATTCGCGAATGCGAATGCGAATATATGCCACCGACATTCGCGAATGCGAATGCGAATGCGAATATTCAGTTTTTTTTTTTAATTTGGCAATTTTAATTGTCTCCGGCAGTCTCATTTGCGCGAGGTGTGTAGGCAATTGGAAAAAGTCTGTCATTTTTAACTGCTTTAAATTGTCCAGTATCATTCTATCATATTTGCTAAAGTAAAGATGTGAAACAGTTGTATTTATTGTAAAGAAGTTTATTGTAGGCGGTTAAGTTTATTGAGGTGTCGTTTAAAAAGGTATTTATTTATAGTCACGTCCGGGCCAAAAACGTAGAAAGCACGTCACTCCACTTGCCCTGCTCTGCTCGTGCACAAATACAAGTGAATTTTTAGTTAAAGTGTGATTAGCGATTTATTACTAGAAGTAAATCAAATTATAGTGAAATATGGACTTATTTTTCATCACTTTTCTATACTGAACGAGCTAAATGCAAGCTGTGTAATATTCGCAAATCATTCGCACAAATTTTGCGAATGCGAATGCAAATGCGAATATGCAAAAATATGCAAATATTCGCGAATGCGAATGCGAATATTCGTTACATCACTAATGTACATATAGAACGATTGAGCCAAAAAATACCTTTCAAGATCAGAATTAATTTTAAATTACTTAAGATAGTAATTGAATACATGTTTACTTCTAAACATGTCGACATTGAATTTGTTTACCTCTTTCTAAACTACAGTTTCATTTTTTAACATTCACGTGAAATTTATAATTAAACTAAGCATTACTGGCCGATACCATTGTAGCATTAATTAATGATTGCAAAGATTGTTCCATGTTTTTTTTTTAATATCCTACAGCTCAAAATATATTTTAATTTTTTTTTACTAGGGTCTTATGTTCGGTTATGCCACAGATGAAACAGACGAATGTATGCCACTTACAGTAGTATTAGCACACAGACTGAATCACAGAATTGCTGATTTGAGACGATCTGGAGAATTCTGGTGGGCCAGACCAGACTCAAAAACACAGGTAAGTCTCCATGAAATATATTTATAGATTTCTGCTACACACATATATAAAATCAGAAAAAACAATGAGAATTTATATTTTCGAGTCAGTTCATTAAAATAACATCGTTTCTATCTGCTTCATCGTCTCCATGGCGAGATTGTCTTCCAAAATATGGTACCATAGCTTCATCTAGGCTATGTTCTTGTTCGAAAGGAGCGTAATTTAAAAAAATTATTCAATGCATCATATAATGGCCGTATTTTAGCAAACTTGTCTGTTTTGTCCAAACTATTATTATTACACACATGAAGAATTTTCATTATATGTGAAAATCTATCTCCCGATAGAGCTCCAGCGACTTTTTCATTCTATCAGAGCTCCAGCGACTTTTTTATTCTATCATCACGATTTTCCCAATACATATATCTTTTTGGTAACACCACATAACCACTCAAATAAAGAGCCTCTTTGATAGGATCCTATTATATTGTCAGTATACTGTACTAATCGTTCATTAAGTATCAAGGACAAAATTTTGTATGCCATAACCTAACTTCTATCTGTTCTATTTGAAAACATAGCATTAAATCCAACGTTAAATCTTACTTTTTCAATCCTTTGACTTGTCTAATAAAAGTACAAAGCTTATTAAAAAGGAAAACGGTATGCAAACAGTAGAATCACACCTCTTATCTGCAGATGAAGAAAATGAGGCACATCAAGGAACACGCTTTCGAATACTTCCCGTTGTTTTAAGAAATGGAAGTAGGGAGGTCACTACATTTGCCTTTCTAGATGAAGGGTCTTCCGTTACTTTGTTAGAAGAAAGTATTGCTAAAAAGCTAAATATAATGGGAGAGCCAGAACAACTTTGCTTAAAATGGACTGGAAATAAAATAAAATCAAGAAATCTTGTTCTGCAACCTCCTTAAAAAGTTCGTCATCAACAAGCAGCAAAACAAAAATGAAGCTTCAACTTCTGCAGGAAGAACGAGATCTATTACGCCAAGAAAGAGAGTTAACCAAGGAGTCTAGGAGAATTATAGAAGAAGATGAGTGCTCGAATGATGGTCAGGACATCGATGAAGAGGAAATAATTGAAACTAACCCTTTGGACAATAAATTCCTTTCTTTAAATATAGATAGGCCCTTTATCGACAATGTTGCCCCTTTAACTCCAACACTTGGTAAGCCAACTTATAACGATGAAAGTTCAGGTATATTATATAAAAGAAGAGATCCTGGAGATCTCCCTATTTTTAATGGCAATCCACATGATTGGCCTGTTTTTATTAGTAGTTTTGAAAGATCAACTGAGCTATGTCAAGTAGATAATCATGAGAATTTATTAAGATTACAAAAATGTTTAAAAGGTCCAGCAAGAGTCAGTGTTTCAAGTTTTTTAATTTTACCTCAATGTGTGCCCCAAATTATAGCTACATTAAAAATCCTTTTTGGAAGACCTGAGCAAATTATTGAAGCTCAAATAAATTCTATTCGTAGATTACCATCTCCTAAACCGGAAAAACTTGAAACTCTGGTAGAATTTGCTTTAGCAGTTAAAAATTTATGTTATGTTAAAAAATTTATTGGAAGCATCTAATTTAAAAGACTACATTAACCCTACCCTTATGCATGAATTATTAGAGAAACTACCTTCACAAATTAAAGTTAATTGGGCGATATATCGCAGTGCTTTTCATAAATTTCAGGGATTAAGTGAACTTGCTGATTGGTTGTATAATCTAGCAACAAATGTTTGTTCTGCTCTTCCTACACTAGTACTTAATGACCAAAGTAATAACAAAAGGCAATTTAATAATAATATGCATGCTAGTATACATAAACCAAATGCCTCCAGTGAAACACATAATTGTAAACTGTGTAATCAGAGAGATTGTAAAAAGATTGCAGGTTGTTCAGAATTTCAGATATTCATTATCTCAAAGATGGGAGTCTGTTAAAGCCTTAAATTTATCTAGGCTTTGCTTAAAGAAACACAGATTTCCCTGTAAGTATCCTGTAAAATGCAACAAAGAAGAATGCCAAAGGAAGCATCATCCTCTTCATGAATTTTCAGAAGAAGTATCTAATAAAAGTACAAAGCTTATTAAAAAGGAAAACGGTATGCAAACAGTAGAATCACACCTCTTATCTGCAGATGAAGAAAATGAGGCACATCAAGGAACACGCTTTCTAATACTTCCCGTTGTTTTAAGAAATGGAAGTAGGGAGGTCACTACATTTGCCTTTCTAGATGAAGGGTCTTCCGTTACTTCGTAAGAAGAAAGTATTGCTAAAAAGCTAAATATAATGGGAGAGCCAGAACAACTTTGCTTAAAATGGACTGGAAACCAACAACGCTTAGAAGATGCGTCAGAAAAAGTATTCTTTTCTATTTCTGGTATTATAATGGGGCCAAAGAATTTGACCACCGACCAGCCAGAACAGTAAGAAAATTAGGCCTTCCAAAACAAACTCTCGAAGGCAAAGGCAATTAAAGAAAGCTTTCCCTATTTAAAAAACTTGCCTTTCAAATCATATAAGAACGCTGTTCCTCAGATCTTGATAGGCTTAGATAACTGGGACTTATCACTTCGAGTGAAAGAAGGTCTAGAACTTCAACCGATAGGTGCAAAGTCCAGGTTTAGGTTGGACTATTTTTGCAATGTTTTCAAATAATGAAGTAGACTACACTTACCACATTTGCGAATGTAGTTCTGAAAGCATTACTAACCAAGAACTCTTTAATACTGTAAAAGACTTCTTTTCGAAAGCCTCGGAGTTCAAAATATTAAACCGTCTGTTTCCAAAGAATTAGATAGGGCTATTCGTATACAAGAAAGCACCCTAGTTCAAATTGGTAACCAATATAAAATTGGATTACTCTGGAAATATGACAACTTGAAACTCCCTAATAGTAAACCCATGGCTATTCAAAGACTGGAGTGTATAGAGAGAAAAATTAAGAAAAATCCAAAACTAGGTATCAAAATTAATCAACAAATTCAAGATTTTCTAGATTTTGGAACTTTGTGGGTGAGACTTCTTAGTGGTTGCTTCTACACAAAGAGGGCACTTCCAGCTGTCATCACCAATTACTTCGGAATCATCCTGTACATTTACGCATTCAAAACAGCACCATTTTTTACATTCTGTACATTCTACCATCCGTTCTTCACGATATGGCTTGCGGCACACAGGACATAGATCAATTTTGGTTCGTCCAGCAACTAATGGACCCATATTCGTAGACCTTGTGTAAGATTGTGTGATTCAGCAATCGCGTGTGATGAAGAATTTGAGATTGTTGGGAATTTATCTGTATTGATCAGACAGCAATTAACGGATTTGTAGTTATCTGTTTTATTTGCATAAAAACAACTCAAATTTCTACAATATATAAAATTAACAATATAAAAAAAACTAATTAATTCCCATTACTTACTGTTCTCTTTCTGTCTGCTAAATTCTTAAATTATTTAAATTTTTCCTTGGATGACAGTTTTTTTGACGTTTTTTATATTATATTTGACATAATTTATGGAACAGTAGCAACGGGAAATTTTATGTAACATGATAAAACTAAAATTGAACTAAATACATTTTATACAAATAATAAATATTCGTAACACTCCCACCCGGTACAACTTGAGACTACAATTATATTGGTTATAACTAAATTTTCAACAAATAAAAACAAAAGTGATTAATTAACAAGGCATTTTGATGACATTATGATATTGGAGGTAGATTATTTGCCCATGATGTTGTTTAGTATTTGCTACTCTTGAGTGACCATGATCTCAACATATTAGCTGAGGCACTATTATTATAATTCCACATATACACTGTAAATTGATCGTCAGTTACTTTAGTTTGGTTTTATTTTTAGGTTACCGCAGAATACACTTTCCAACGTGGCGCCTGCATTCCACAAAGAGTTCACACAGTCGTTGTTTCACTCCAACACAGCGACAAAATCAGCTTGGAAGAATTGAGAACCGAAATCAAGGAAAAAGTTATTAAAGAAGTCATTCCAGCCAAGTATCTCGATGACCAAACAGTCATTCATATCAATCCATGCGGTCTCTTCATTATCGGAGGACCTCAGGTAAATAAATTTAACAATTATGTATGAAATAACAAAATTATCCATACGAAATTTTCGTATTGAAACAAAAAAAAAGCTTTTTGGCGATAAAACTACCATTTTGAAAAATTTTCCTTTGCCAGCCGGTTAATTCGATTTTGAGAGGGCTTAAAGAGGGGGGACTTTTAAACGAATTATTTCATTCGAATTTTTTAAATATACTTTTTACCAGGTGCAAATATCTTTTTCATTTTTAAAAATTTAAATTGGCTCCACAAAAAAAAATTAAAAGTTCTCTTGGCTGTTTCTGCAATCAGTTTCCATTTATTTACATTTTTTAACAAAATAGTTTTCCTTTGAATCTCTGATGTGTTTTCGTGATTTCCCATTCTTTACTAGCTTTCACATTTAAGTTTTATCTTCCTTACGCTATTTTCCATTTGGTCCCTATATCTTCAGTCAGCTTCTTGATTTTTTTATCTACTGGTGTCGTGCTTAACCTCCCACATACTTTGTTTTCTCAGATCAATATGTGCTTTTACTGCTGTATTTAGTTATTTCCCTTTGTTCTTGTGTTTACTTTCAATTTATTTACCATACTTTCATTTGTTCTATTAATTTGAACTGCCAAATATTTAAAACTTCTTTTCTTAATGATGGAAAGATAAAATGTACATGATGTTACCTAAGAGTATTTGCTATCTTGAGTAAATATGATGTCAACTACAGACTGACACAATTCATTCAATGTAATAAAACAGAATAGTCATTTCGATATTACTGACCTTCTCTTTTTCAAATTTCAGAGTGATGCAGGCCTAACTGGTAGAAAAATCATCGTAGACACTTACGGAGGTTGGGGAGCACATGGAGGTGGCGCTTTCTCTGGAAAAGATTTTACAAAAGTTGACAGGTCCGCAGCTTACGCAGCTAGATGGGTAGCTAAATCATTGGTGAAAGCAGGACTTTGCCGTAGATGCTTAGTGCAAGTATCATACGCTATTGGCTTAGCCGAACCCCTTTCCATTACAGTATTTGATTATGGAACTTCGAAACTCACTCAAAAGGAATTGTTGGACATTGTAAACAAGAACTTCGATTTAAGGCCTGGTAAAATTGTCAAGTAAGTACTTTTTTCTTAAAATAATAATTTTCGTTGTTAAAACAGCCTCAAGCCCTAATAATCTAACACGTAGCCCATGTTTGACGGCATTTTTTTACACGAATCAAACTAAAGTGATTCGAAAGTTGGTAAATTACCAACTTGAAATGAATATGCTTACAAGTTAGCTTTGTTCTTTGACAATGTTTAAACTCCCTCCAATCTTTAGATCCTTTGAAATTCTCATCACAAATTCTCCTTTGTTCCATCATTTTAGGACAACCTAATTTATCTTTCACAGTTAAACATATATCTATGTCAATTTGATCCGAAAGAAAGTTTAAAAAGGACCCATTTTAGCAGTATTTGTCGCGGTTGCAAACGCAAGTCTGTCTGAATAGCAGATAAGAGTGCAGTACTGGATGTTTGGAAGCTGCAATTTTTCATGGTCCAGTTTCATCACATGTCGAGCCTTCTCAGCTTTTCTATGGTGTAGTTCTAATTTTTGTTGATTTACAGTCTTGCTACTTGGTAAACTTTGTGTTTGATTTTTAAGTAAGTCACAAGTGGCACAAGTGTCTTGTCGAGGTTTTTAAAAGCCAAGATTAGGAAATTTTTTTATAGTCTCAATATAATGTCGCAAGGTGATTTTGTAGAGGGATACAGATCTTTAAAAGCTTTGTGTAGTCTACTACAGCTTCGATCTTCACTAAGATATAATTTATTACTGTTTCTTTCTCTCTCTCTCTCGTGTAGTGGCTTTCCTGTTTAGGTAATGATTCAATATGATTTTTGATGATAGATTTGTCCTCTTGCGTATACTTTCTAAATTTTTTCTTAGTTCTACGTATACTAAATTACTTCGTTTTTTTGCTTTTGCCAATGTTTCAACTCTTCGTTTCATTGTATTGTGGACATCCAGAAAGGTCTTTTTGCAAACCTATACAGTTTCACCACTTCCGTTTGAAATAGTAAAATAAATTGAAGTTTGGCGCCTACTTGCACCAGGTTCAGAGGAACTGTAAGATGTGTGCCGTCTAAGCTTTATTTGACAAACCTTATCAAGCCCATTAAATAAGTGTTTTGTTTAACATGGTCACCAATTTCATAGAAACTCTTGAACAATAGTAGTTTTTGGTCGAATGTAATTTTTCTGCAGTTACAGTTACATGATATCTATAAATAAAAAAAGGCATTAGAGGCTTTATAGAGATGCCAGTAATAACAATTTTGTTCATTAGCTCTACACATTATACTGGCAAAAGATTTAAATGATCTAAGATCATTCATATAACCTATTATAACCTCCTTGTAAATTGTTTTAAATTAAACTTAAATTTAAAAATTTAATATACTAATAGAAAATTATCTATCTAAAGACAGACTTGCCTACCTCATTTGGTGGAGGGTCTTTCTTCTTCTTCTGGTTCCTATACGTTTCGGATGTTGGAAATCATATTGGCAATCATAACCTTGCTCGCTGCGGCTCGAAACAGCTCCGTTGAGGTTTCTTAAACCATGTTCTTAAATACCGCAGCCATGATATTCTCCTTCTGCAGCTCCGACTGCAGCAGGGATCAACGGTGCTGATTTCTCATAACTTGTCCCAAATATTGCAATTTTATGCGTTTGATCGTAAACACAAACTCTGGTTCCTTCTTCATTTTTCCTAGAACTTCCTTGTTCGTGATCCTTGCTGTCCATGATATTCTCAGCATTCTTCTATAAAGCCACATCTTAAATGCTTCAAGTTTTTTAATAGTGGTGTCTGTAAGCGTTCATGCCTCCGCTCCGTACAACAACACAGAAAACTATAGCATCTCAAATGTCTCATTTTTGTATCAAGGGATATGTTGTGACTTTTCAAGATGGCGCTCATTTTGTTAAAGACCGTTCTTGCCTTTCCTATGCGGCACTTTATTTCCTGTACATTGCTCCACTGTTCGTTCATAATAGATCCCAGGTAACAATACTGTTTTACTCACTATCTGTGTGCCATTAATGTATAGATGAGCCCCGTTTATATTCTCCTTGCTTAGTCATTTGTTTCATTTTGTGGGTATTAATGTTTAGTATTACTCGTATTACGGTACTGTTGACTGTACTCGTTTATTCTGTCCATTAGCCTCTGAAGTCCCTCTAAACTATCTGCTATTACCATGGTGACCTCGTCATATCTAACATTGTTTACTCTTTCACCATTTAGAAGGATGCCTTCGTCTATTCCGTAAAGAGCCTCATTAAAAATTTTCTCTGAGTACATATTAAATATCAACGGCGATAGGATACATCCCTGTCTAACTCCACGTAGTATTTTATGTATGCGGTCTGATTCCAGTAGAGTTCTGAAATTATTCTGAGGTCTTTGTCATCCAGGTCTGCCTCTTTTAAAATTTTTATCATCTTTTGATGTTGAACTTTAGGTGGAATGGAGGGTCTTTAGGTGGAATGATTTAATTTTTAAAGTTTTGGTATTGCTTGTCCTCTAACCGTAACGTCTTTTGAAATTCCACTTCTTTTCTCAATCCTTTCTTACGTCGTTTTATTTTATTTCCAACTAACACTGCTACATACACTGTTGTCCATTGTAAATAATTAAATACATAATTCTAACCTCAAACAAGACAATCTTACATGTCACAGATCACTACTGGTCTATTCTATTGTTTTTTAGCGCTCTGGCACTTACCCGGGTTTTACTAAGATGCCTATCACTTGACATGTACACGATCTTGTGGCGTTCTTTAGAACTACTTCTGAGTAGTTATGAAGTTAGACCACTTGATACAGCATCCTTGACACATACATATACCACTTTTAAGCACTAAAAATATTTTTTCAATTTCTGACACTTAGCCCGGTTTTTACTTGTGTGATATAATTGTTATATTGATATATTTCTTTCTTTTCAGGGAGCTAAATCTAAGACAACCCATCTACCAAAAGACCAGCACCTACGGCCACTTCGGACGGGATGGTTTTACGTGGGAACAGCCTAAAACACTGCACCTAAACTGACAACCTTCCGTAACAATATTTTAGAAATCTTTTATTGATCGCACTAGATGCCTCCTTTTAGATTTTAAGTTTAGGAAAAAATTTCTGTGATTGGCGCTCTGAACCTTGAGACCGACGCGATTTTTTGCCTCTCTGAATGTAACATTCTACGGAGCAAAGTATCGCGTACTAACAAGTAACTGTCGCAAAACGTGCCCACAGGTTCCCGATATAGACCACAGTGGCGTTTAAAGCGTTACTGCAATTCAGTGTGAGTCAAACGTTCAGTTTCAAGTTAGATATTACTCGCACATTGTGTTGTGTTTAAGAGAAAAAATAATTTGGAAAAGAGCATTTCTATAAACACTCCGGACTGTATTGGGAATGGTGGTCATCCATGCATGTTGCAAGTTCTTGCAAAAACAATTTTTGTATTTTATACAATTCGACAGTGTTCACTGGTTGTAAATTATATTTTATTCTAATTTTTTAACCTACAATTCTACATTCCCTTGTTATTTTAAAATAATCGTCAAATCAACATAGAATTTGCAAGAAACATGTACAATGGGCATTTAAGATCAGCTGCCAGTTGATATAGAATTCCCTTAGTGTTAATTTTATTGATTTGATTATGTAGACTGTAGACGAATAATTATTGTAGATGATAGTTTGAATGTATAGATTTTATTGTACCTATGTAATTTATTATGAGAGGATAAACGATCTATATGTTGTATACAATTGATTTAAGTAAGTTTGGTAGAAGTATTTGTCCAATGTAGATCGTAAAATTTGGTGTAATTTTTTATAGCATAGTTTATTTTATAAATAATCCAACTGATATTCTATTGCTCTATTCAAATTGTGCTTTTTTGTCTAAGAAATAAAATAGTTGTGAAAACTCCGTGTTTAATTTCTCAATGAACCACAAACTTGTAGCCCCAGCTAGTATAATTAACCAGACATACCTGTCAATGAAAAAACCCAACTACGTTTTCAGGAACACTATCGTTCTTTTAGTATGTGGGGCATTAGAAATTACTATATCAGAATAAACTGTATCTGTACTAGGCAATAAGTACTATTTAACCCTTTCCAGTCCAAATTATTTTTTTTTTCAATAAATTTTGTTGAAAAAAATGTATGTTATAGGAAACGATACAAGAAAAAATAATTGTTGATTTGAACTTTTGTAAAAATTTTGCATCCTAGAGTCTTCAAACTCTTATATTGCACTTATACTATTAACAATTTAATTTTGTACATGGAAAGTATAAAAACAATTTTTATTATTGTTTAAACATAAAAGACATTGCACTTGAACTTTTTATTGTAGAGTAAGACTTTATAAATTTGCACCTAGCGCGATTTTGATCATGTAGTGACTAGTGTCCTGCTCCATCAAATCGAACATCTTGCACTGGTGCAGGATGCATTACTTGGCTTTTATTTGGTTTATTCTCTTGAGAAGGACGCCCTCGTTTTCTCGTGTCGGACTTTCCAGCTTTCAGTAACGCTGAATTGGAGAAGGGTGATGTGTTTCACTTGTTTTTGTTTGCAGTGTCTTCGGTACAGCAACCAGGAGTTGACGATACATGTATCAATAAGATTAAATATTATTCCCAAATAGAATCTTTTTGGTTTGATTTTGATTCTATATAGTTCCACAAGCATGTCATGCAAATCCACACCCCCCATCGATATATTATATTCTTTGACAATTGCTGGCCATTCGATTTTTACACATAGGTTTTGCTCTTGTTGCACCATCTGTTCACTTTATCAAGAGGATATTTTCCTATATAGTTCGATACTAATATGACGGACTTATTGTCATACCATTTGGGAGCAGTAATATTTTTTTACTGTCCTATATTAGAGGATCCATGACCTTTTGCTATCAAAACTTTGTCTTCCAAAAAAAGACAACCTGCTAGCCGCCCACTTCTTACAGCCCCTGCAGCAAGGAAGCCCCGTTCTTTCAGACTAAAGAGCACTGGAGGAAGTAATCATAGACCTATGTAGAGTACTGGACGAAAGATGTGTCGAGCACTGGACTAAGGAACGGAGGTCTGTGTCTAGCAGTGTATGAAATAAAGGGTCCCCATGTCAGGCAGTGGACATTTAATTAGTGAATAGTAGAAGGTGACATGAGACGAAAAAAACAACCTGACGAAAAGAGACTAAAAGAAGAAAATGACTAGACTTGTCAGTGAGCGTAACGTCACTTGAACACCTGAGCAGGCGCAAACATCAAAGGATGCCGCTTTTTCCCACGGTCGGTAAAATTTTCCCAGTCCCCACCGGCGCAACCTCTACTACCAGGAGAGAGAAGTTACCTGTTGCCGACAAGAATGTGGCTTCGACTAATTTTAAGTAATTTTAAACTGTTTGGCCTTGTTTAGTGTAGTGTTTCTACAATTTTATGTTTAATGGTATGTTTATTACATTCTGCGCTTGTTGGATGGCCCAAAATTGACGAAATGCCCCTGATGATGCTTTATGCCGGGTCCAGACCAAGCAGACAAAACAAAAACATTCATGTTTCGCGACAAAGTGGCGACAAATCGAAAACATTTGATGAGACATTTCTGAAACAATTTTGTTTTGTTTGCAGATTTGAAAACTTTTTCAGGTCCCGTCTCAGGTCGGTAAAGATCAAAAGGTCTGTGTTTTGTCTGTGTTTTTGACGACAAGTTGTCAACGCAGTGTGGACGCGTGTGCGTACCAAAACGAGTTAAGCAGTGTATTTTTCTGTTGTGTAGTGAATAAATAAATACTAGTGTATTTTTCTAAACATGTCGGGGGACAAAAAGTGGAATACACAAAATACATGCAAGTTAATAGAAATTTACAGGGAGCATCGGATATTATGGGACCCTAAAAATAAAGATTATAAAAATCGCTACAAGAAAGCCGATGCATTAAAGGAAATTTCTTTATCGCTAAATGTGCCACTAAATGATGTTGAACAAAAAAATAAAGAATGTTAACAACCAGTATGCTAGAGAAAGACGAAACTACAAGAAACTTAAAACATCTGGGGCTGGGAAACTTTTCAGTTCAAAATGGTTTGGTTATGGTAGGAATCACCTGTTGCTTAAAATCTTAAAGTGATTGCTAAACGTTCTGTTACACTTATAGCATTTCTAAAGTTAGTATGTCTTTTTGCAACTGCAGGACCAACAAGGCATATTAGATTCTCAAAATCTTCGGTGGACATTCTTAAAAAAATTTTGAAGCTTGATCGAATTTCACCACTTAGTCCAATATCATCTGCGCGCAGCTGAACTAACAATTTGTCTATCGAACAACTTTCTCGCATTTTTAGGCTTGGTCTAATCCAAAAACGTTTGGGTTTTCGTTTAGCAACCTGGGATGATGATGAGAGCAAAAAAAACAACTTGCGGCTAGCAATAAATCTTCAGTTTCATTTTTTTCTTTATTAAAACGCCATATGGTTAACCAACACTAATCACAACAACAACGTCACCAACTGAATTTTGTTTTTATATTTTGTTGTTCTGGTGTGGACAGTTTGTCTCAATTTTGTTTTGTCTTTTGACGACAAATTTTGTCGCCGATTTATCGTGTTTTTGTTTCAGAATTGTGTTTTCGTTTTGTCTGCTTGGTCTGGACCCGGCATTAGAAGGCGAAAGTACTTGGACAATATTGAATTAATAAAATTGTGCTCGATATCTGCCTATCATTTTATCAATCCAGGATTTCATTTTTTCGTGATTATTATAAAAAAAAAAGATAATTCATAATGTCTTGGACCTGACGTAAACATTTAGTGACGTCGATATACGAACGAAACAACGAAATCAGGCATTGCTAAAAACATGCAGTTCTCTTCAGTGCGTTATCGTAGCGAGACAGAGACGAACTAGTTTTTGCGTTAGTAAAATAGCTTTTGATATTTTTATTTTATAACTTTCAAACAATCTAAAACTAAAAAAAAACGAAAAGTGGCTTAAAGACACACAATTATTTTTGAATTCACCAAAAATTCTATCGGTTTCTGATACTTTAGTTTGGGCTTATTTGATTTTAAAACATTGATTTTAGTTGTTTGAGGGCCTTATCCCAACCTAAAAATGGATTTATACAAAACTGTTTAATAAATTAGGACCACTTTTTGTATGGGCGACCTCTTGAACAATATTCTGCGGTCTTTTATGAAAGTGATTATGCAAAAAATCCCGAATTCCTTGGGGAAAAATATTTTCCCCAAGGAATTCGAGGTTTTCGTCTCGTATAAATGTTTTGCTGAATTTAAACAACCTTATTATTTTTCTATCATATATTAATTTGTTATTTATTTATTTCTCCTCTAGATTTTTTCAGTTCTTAAAAGCTTTATTTACAAGCCAAATTAGTGCAATGTAAATATTTCACATTTTTACACAGTAATTCTTATCGGCAGTGAAGACGGGAAGTCGTAAATTTTTATTACATCTTTCAATGTGAGATAAAATAAAAATGCGATGACTAACTGGAATGTTTAAGATTAGAGAAACATATGTAATATGTCATGTTTATTGGAAATATTCGACATCATTAGCACGTGCAAATCCTACCCTGTCGCCCAATTTCCTATGAAATTAAAATGGTAAATGTTTTTAGGATCCATTTATTTTTTCGGGCATGCGCATTTACGAGGTCCACGAGATTTTGAAACATTTATAACTTTCTAATTTTTTAACACCTAAATATCAAAAGAGGAAGGTAAGACCCAAATAACAATGCATAAGTTTTAATAACATGTGTTAGTGGCTTTTTTTTAGTTGAACATTGGAAACCGTTCCTATTCACCCCATTTTACGCTACATATGGGTAAAGCTAAAATATTATTAAGAGTCACATTTTGATAAGACAAAAAATAATTTAAAAAACAAACGTAACGAGAATATTTAGAAACTGCAAATTTATAACAACGAAACTACAAAACTAAGGTTACAAAATATGATATTGAGCTGGTTAATTATAGAACAGATATAGACTAAGACCTGGTTTCAAATACACTAATAAAAAAATACCTGAAATGTCATTAAATACTCGTAAACGTCCATTATTTTGATAGGAAGATTTTGAATCATTACATTTTAGTTTCAGTTGTCAAAAATTTTTAAAAACTGTTTAAAAAATAATCTATTGCATTATGGATCCTAAACTTAAATCAAAATTATATACTAACTGGTAAGAAAATTATTCCCTTGCAAAAGTAGGGTTCGCTGAATAACGTTTTATTCCTCTTTTTAGGAATCAAAATATTTTACAATTTAAGGTCCATCAGGATATCTTTACTCATCCAAAAGTTCATTATAATGTGAATAGTTACCTCATTGAAATGCGAAATGAAATACATGATCTTGGGAGAATGAGATTAAAGGTATACATTATTACGATACTATACTTAAAAAAATAATTCCTTCGTTTGAAGGGGTAATTGACATTGAAAATTATAACTACAATAGTCCTTTATTATCATAAATAAAACGAATTTCAGACTCTCAAAATACACGTTGTAGGGCAAGAGTCTATATAATTCGAGAAATCCAAGTATTTAAATCTTTTACTTACAAGTTAAAGCTGCTTTTGGACTGTAAATAATCTCTTAAGAAATTGGACACAAACAAGGTAACATTTATATGAGTGCCAGGTCATAAATGATTTAAGGAAAATAAAGATGCTGACAAGTTGGCAAAGCAAGCAGCCAATTCACTTTTGTGAACTACGCTCTCTCTTCAATCCTGAACCCCCGGAGGGAGTATAGTAGTCACGTTGTTAAATACGTTGTTCATGTGATGGTATGTGGAATTTCAATCTATCAATTCATTCTATATTTACAAGCCATTTAGTGTCGACGAGTCACAGTATTTTTTACAATGGAA